GGGTGTGAGAGACAGAGAGAAAGTCCGGCCAACAGGTAAGTCTCCAACCCCGCGACTGTGGAGGTGGGCGGAAGGGAGGCGCGTGGCGGGGAGTTGGACAAAGGGGACGTACGCGGAAGGGGGAGAAGGGAGGTGGAGGGGGGGACGAGGGACGAGGGAGAAGAAGAAGAAGAAGAAGAAGAAGAAGAAGAAGAAGAAGAAGAAGAAGAAGAAGAAGAAGGAGGGGGCGTTGGGCAAAGGGGACGTACGCGGAAGGCCGGGAAGGGGAGAAGGGAGGTGGAGGGGGGGAAGAGGGACGAGGGAGGAGGGAGGAGTGGGAGGAGAACGGGATGAACAAGAAGAAGAAGAAGAAGAAGAAGAAGAAGAGGGAGAGGCAGACGAGAAAGCCAAAGAGGAGGGGGAGGAGGAGAAAGCAGTCGAGGGGAAGGAGGAGAAGGATGAGGAGGAGACGGACGAGAAAGCCGAAGAGGAGAGGAGGATAAAGGCGAGGAGGAGGAGGAGGGAAAAGGCAAGGGGAAGGGAGGGAGGTGGAAGGAGGAGGAGGCTAAAAAAGTCTTCTTTTTTTTTTGCATTCCTGTCCCGTTTTCTTCTTCGTTTGTGTCTCACTTTTTTTTTTACTTTTTTTTTCATTTTTGCCGCAAATTTGTGTCGTTTCCGTCTTCGTTTTGTCTTTGGTTCTCCTTTTCTTTTTGAGTCCGTTACAGTTAATCGATCAATCATCAATCATCAATTATCAATCAATCAATGAATCAATCTCGACCAAGGTCGATCTTTATTGATCGATTGATTGATTGATTGATTGATGGAGAAGGAGACTAGACCCAAAGGAGGAGGAGGAGAAGTATCGGGGACGGTCTGGCGTGGGTTGGGGAGGGTGGGCCGAGGGTAAAGGAGGTTCGGGACAGGGGACAAGAGTGGTCGGGGAAGAGGCAGAGGGCAATGGAGGGGCGCTAAGGAGAGGCATGCGGAGGGAGGTAAGCCGACGGAGGAGGTGAGAGGAGGAAGGAGGGACGGAGGGAGGAGGGAGGAGGGAGGAGGGAGGAGAGAGGAGGGAGGAGGGCGGGGGGGGGATTGGGAGGGGTGGATGAGGGGACACGCGAGTTGAAGGGAGGGAGGAAGAGGGAGAAGGTCATTGGAGGAAGAGAAACGACTTTTTTTTTCTTTGTCTTTTTTTTTTGGCTTTCTATTCCGCTTTCCTTTTCTATTTGTCCATTGCCGTTATTCAATCAATCAATCAATCAATCAATCAATAAATTAATGAAGATTGACTAAGGTCGATCCAATTGCCCCTACGACAAGTTGGCAACTGCCGGGCCATTTTGCAAAGTTGGGCAGCTTCCTGTAGGGGTACATTGCAAAGATGGTATCCAACGGATGGCTGCGGTGTTTTTGTCATCGTCCTTCGCCACTTGTTTAACTTAATAATTTGAGTAAAAAAAAAAAAAGAAGCAGACTTCAATCCTTAAAGGGGGTTATCAGATACTCAGGCCATTGGCTCAAACAGAAAACAGATCACACTGCCGAGTCCAGTGTAACTCTCTCATAGTCATATAGTCCAGGTAAAAGTCTCCTCGCTGCCCCCAACTTCTCCCCTAGCCCCCCCAGCTCTCCCTCTCTGTCTGTCTGTCTGTCTGTCTGTCTGTCT